GACCTCTCTAAGAAAACGGTCAGTGGATTTCACTGAGGAGAAAGATCAAGGAGACTTATGATCGCAGTAATCAAGTTGTCTCTTGAAGCTCAGCACAGGGTCCTGACAGACAAGCAAGCATAGTATTGTAGCTTAATGTTTCTCAACCTCGGCAACTGTAGAATGTGTGGATTTCAACTCTCACAGGCTCCCCAGCCAGCACAATGGAGATGAGATCAGTACTAGGTTTTCAAAAAAAACACACACCTAAGACCTGGCTTTTCTTCTGTGGGCAGGGGAATGTTTGTGTGGAAGTGGTTATTAATGCACTTGGGGTGTTCTGGTTCACGCATCTTTTACATCCATTGTATGTATCCATATTATATCCGTATCTGTATCAGGTACATACAATGCTTACTACTATCACTGGAGTTGCATATGCATTCAATTCCTCACTCTGCAGTTTTCAGAGACTGAGTTAAAAAAAATTTTTTTTTTACTTTAGATCTACAGAGCTGGCCCCAGATAGAATGTATAGTTCAAGTCCTCCATAATCCAAGCTGATATTCATTGGAAATAGAACAGGGCAGAAATCAGACCTTCGACTCATCTTTGCTCTTTTTTTAGTTGTTTTTTAGACATTGTAGGAGAATCATGTTAGGCTACAGCAATGTTTCTCAACACTGACAATTTTCACATGTATGGACCAACTCCCAGATGTGTGGATTTCAACTTCCCACAGCATGCTGGCTACAAATTGAAGTCCACACTTCTTAAAAGTTGCTAAGGTTGACAAACACAGTACTAGCCAAAACCATCATGCATCTAATGAAGCGCTCTAGCTCACAAAGGCTTAGGCCATTTAATAAAATTGATTAGTCCAAACAGGTGCAATGAAAATCCTTCTAGCATTTTTAGTGGCATGTGAGTGTGTGGGTGCACTTGTGTGATGTGTGGATTTTATGACATGCTTCCTTTCCAGATAGAAGCTAAAGTTGCGTTTAAATAGTAAAAAACATATGCACAGATTAATGTGTTCAGAAGTGACAAGCAACAACAAACATAATCCCTTAAACAGTTTAAAAGCAACTATACCAAGAAACATAATAGCAAAAATTAAAAGCCAGGAAGGGAAATTGGAAGAAATGATTATAACGATGGCCAGACACTCCATCATTTTACTCTAAGGCATTATTGTGTTTTTTTAGCTTGTGTGCCACAGTCATTATGTTCTTAGGTTTAAGTTAAATTAAACAAGGCTGTACCCATTCTTTCTGTCACATGCTATTTCATTTCCCTTTTTAGGCAACAGTCTCCTTCTTGCACACTCACCTTTGTATGATGTTCAAATACAGCTGCTATGTAGCTAAATGAAGAACCCATGCCCGAGACTCTCATCCATTTTTTTTAAATAATAAAAAGCATGAGAAGTTGCCCTAAAGCAGGCATTGAAAAATAATAGCAAAATATTAATATTTTTCCTAATATTTAGAACTCACATACTGTAAATCCTAAATAGTTTCTTGGAGTAGGAAAAAACAACCCAGTTTTTCTTGCTATATTACACTAAAGTTATCCCATGCAACTTTTCTCTCTTCAGTCTAAGCAGAAAAAAAAAAAAAAAAGAAACCAGCCAACTGAAGAAAATTTTTCCCCCATTAAAAAAATAGAAGAGATGCTGTGATGGAGAGAACAATACTTGGCCATCACCATAAATGGTAACAGAGGGAGCATTTATGGTTAGCAATAAAGGTGAGGCATTACCAGATGCAGAGCAGATACAAGTTAGCAGCTGCTAACTGGACAGGTGCAATTTCCTGATGTTTCAACTAATTACTTGTAAATTGTACTGATGCTACTCATCAACTCATCACAACTGCCAGAAAGAATAATCGTTGAGTATACAAGATTCCCTCCCCTTTTTTTGTCTCAATATTCAGAACCTAGCATTACTGCTAATTATTGGGCACAAAAGACAATTAAATGACTAAAATGTGCTGCCAGTTACTGATATACTGGAAGAATAAGTAGAATAAGTCTATTTATTCTAGAATAGATAATACAAATGCGATGCTTAAAGAATAATCTAATGGCTTGACTGTGTTTATCAGCCATCATTTCCCAGTAATATAATTCTATTGCTTGAAGAAGTTCGACTCCTGACAACAACATGAATATGTCAAAATAATTTTGAAGTTTGGTATGGCCTTCTTCCAATGGAGAGAATCATACAGCGTTGTTTACTTGCTGGTCCAGCTCACAGTACCGGGATTTCCAAATCACTGTCCACCAAAATCACTCTGAGTGAGATGGGCAGTGTCCAAATGTGATATATAAAAAAATATGTAACTTTGATTTGATCCTGCTTAACTTTTCTGAGATCAGTCAAGTTTGGTCAGATGCTGCCACCTGCTGAGAATCCTGCATGAGGTAACTTTTTCTGGCTCCCAAGTGAGGTTCTATGGTGGACTACATTTTCCTGAAGGTGCAGGGACAGCATTGTGGTGGAGATTATGATGAATTCTAACCGGTCCACTATCTCCAGACAAGTAGAAATATGAGACCATCCATTTGCACTCTGAGTAGCTGCTCCCTGTGTGGAATCTGCAGGAACCGAAGTTTTACAGTCAACTCATAAGTTGTGTGGCTGGAGCGATTTCAATCAAACTCACAGCCAATATTCAGCCTATATGTACACACAAGGTTGGCAAAACCCTCACTTTCTTAATCACTATAGGATGCAATCAATTTACAGCTAAAGAGAGATTTTCGGAGCAGGAGGATAAAAGAAATACACCTGGTGAATCAACTATGTTTCTGGATTAAAGGAGGGGGGGAAAGGCTTTAAGAGGTGTAAATGTTCAACAAACAGCTTAATAAGAATTAGTTATAAGAAAGTTTAAGGGCTAAAGGGGACAGTAATTTTGAAAAGTTAAATTTTTGTGATGTGCTTTTGCAAATATCAGAATAGAATTAAACAGGCAAACAGGCCTGAACAATTACCAGAAAAATGGCCAAAACAGGATAAGGGATGAGAGGATCATTAGAACAACCTGCAAAAAGACTTGCACCAGAATTTTTTCAGAAAATGTTTAGGGAGTTAGACAAATAGTAGTACCAAATGTACAGATGTAAGAATGATTTGGACTGCAAGGACAGTTTTCATGTATTCTTTTATACAACATGATAGTGAATTCAAAAAGACAAGCTGCCAAAAAAAAAATCTACTTACAACCAGTCCTTGAAGTTATAATTGCCACACAGAAATACATAGTCACATGACTGCATTTTAGGCACTTGGCAACCAGCTCACATTTATGATTGGTTCATGGTCACAATTGTAATTTTCAAGTTTTGCTCTTTTCTGCCAAAAAATATCTATAGGATATGCTGGACTTGCTTAACCACTGCAGTGATTCACCTTATGACCACTGTAAAAATGTAGTCAAATCCAGACCAGTCACATGATGCCTCAACTTACGACCACAATTTATGACCATAATTCCAGGCTCTCTATTAGTTTTAAGTCAGAGACTACCTGTATGAATTTTGGAGAGAATTTATTTATACTTTGTACTTCTTAATTGCCCTTTTCCCTCAGATTGAGTAAGACTGGTTTACACTTCATAAAAAGTGTATACACTGACAAATTGTCAATAAAGATCTAACAAAAACCTGTTAAGATACAAAAATGAGCAATACAGGCAGTGGTGGGATTCAAATAATTTAACAACCGGTTCTCTGCCCTAATGATTTCTTCCAACAACCAGTTCACCAAACTGCTCAGAAAGTTAACAACCGGTTCTCCCGAAGTGGTGCGAACTGGCTGAATCCCACCACTGAATACAGGGATGTCTCCTCTCCTGTTTATCTTAGTTCTTGAAATATTGAATAGAGATATAAGATGAAAGAATTGTGGAAATAAATATTAAGAAACATAAAGGCATTTGCTGATGACTTGATGCTCTTTTAAAAAAGAGAAATGATAGTTAAAACAAAAATGATTAACTTATGCTAGTGTAGTCTTTCTCTCAAGATCTTAGTTAAAAACAAGAGGTTTGGGATTAGGTTATATTGTGTATATCATTATTTTTCAAAATAGAAAAACTGAATCTAATGTAGAAATGTGTACAAATGATCACATTATTGCAGATGGCCTAATTTACTGATGATGGAAATGGAAGATAAACATGTTAGACTGTGAGGAGCAACAAAATTTGGATAGAGTTGGATCAATCGAGGAATGAATACGTGAAAGAACAGATAGTAATTCATGCTGAATTATGATTTTAGAGAAAGCACCTATGATGTACTGTTGGTATTTGACACCAGATAAGTTGTTAAAAATGTATAATGTAATTTCAAATATTTGTTGAAAATTAATCAAACTTCTTCCATTCTCCCATCTTTGGTGGTCGTTTAAAAAAGCTAAAAAATATTGGGGTCAAATTTGTATCTTGATTTAGATTTTAAAGGTAAATGTACAATTGAAATGAGGTTTTTCTTTTGGAGTAATGGACAACTCAATTGAAACGTCCTGTGGAATTTTGTTTTTATATATAATAGCAGCAAAACTCCTATATAGATAAAGATGGAAGAACTTATAAATACCTACATTGGAGGAATGAATGGGTAAGCTAAGGGCTTTGGTGCAGATGGTGAAATTGACACTGATTAAAGAAAATTTTTTGACTAATTTTATCTCTGCTTGGAACTGAGGACCGAGAGAAATGAAATTCTGACTTTGGGATTTGATGACTAAAGTTATACGGAATTATAAAAATAAGGTAGGCTATTAAGTTTAGAATTTGATGTTTTTTTTATCTATGTCTATACTAAAGAAAGTTGGAAGTCATTTTTTTTCTTTTTGCATTTTTATTTTGCTTTCTTTTAATTTTTTTTCTTTTTGACTTAAAGATTATCATTTCATTTCTTGAGAATCTCACTTGTTATTCCACTTACAAAAATGATGAAAGAAATTCTGAGAGGTCTGTACACCAAGAAGTTCCTAAAATGCCGTGCAATGTCATATGGATTTAAATACATTTAAAGTGATTAATGTTTTTGATACTAAATTGTTTTATATATTTACAAATTTCCCCTTTCAGGAGAAATTAATGGGAAATTCTGCATTTAGTCACCAATTAAACTTACAATATCATTTCTACCATTACCTTCCGCTAAATGTTATTGAAAAATAAACTTTCTCAAAAGCCGAATTATATTTAAATGAATTTTACACCTTAATTTTTTAGGGAGCGCTATCTCTGAAATTAAAGGAATGGGAACTTTATAAAAAATTCATTGTTTATAAAATCACGCATGCCCATTTTTTTTACCCTGTGATGTGATTTTATAAACAATGAGTTTTCTATGAAGTTGACATTCCTTTAATTTCAGAGATAGCGCTCCCTAAAAAATTAAGATCAAGAGCTGGACATTTTTCCTCTTGTACCGCTCTTAAGATTTCAAGAGTAAGCTCTCCCTCAGACTAACAAATATAAGTCAATCTCAGTAATAGCATGAATGAAGCCACAAGTTGGGATTTTAAAAAAGAAGGCTGTTGAAGTGCTTTGTCAAAAAACAAAACAAAACCAAACCATGGGTCAGACTTTCTGTCTGAGGTAAATTTACAGTATTGCAATATAATCCATTTAGAAATTAATTTGTTCTATACTTAGCATAACTGAACTAACAAAATCTACTGTTGTGCATAATTCTTTTTTATGAAGTATAAATATAAATAATGACAGGAAGGAGAACAAACTTTCTATCAAATCACACTATATAACTAAGAACTCCTGAAGCTTGGCAATTTGCACTTATGAATTAGTTTATTTGAATGTTAGATGACCTTAATGCTTATGAAAAATGATAAATCAATTAAAGATGGATGTTAAGATACAATCAAATACTTGAGAGATGTTATAGCTATTTTTGTTGTTTTAAGTTTGGCTTTTGGTTTTTTTAAATTCTGTTTTGTTAGCCACCAAGAGCTAGGTATATAAGATGAATGGCCTATAAATTTATTAAATAAACAGAAATACAATGCATAATACACTGCCACTAGGAAAATACTAAAAATCCTTTATCTTGTAAGCTGCTGTAAGGCCACGTAAATTTCTGCAACTTTGGGAATTAAAAAGGGCTCCAAGAAATATGGAAGAATTAACTAAAAAAAAAACCCAATTCTTAAATCTTTGCTTTATTGACCAAGTCCCTCTAAGTCAGGGAAAATCTTATGACATTTCAAAAATCATGATGATAAAATTACACAAATGCCTATATTTATTTCCCCTTTTGATATTTGCCTTTACCTCTTATTTCAATATGCAGATTTTTTTAAGCAAATGAACATTATACAGCGTTTTGTTTCCTCCGCTTGAATTTGCAATTCTGGGCTTGGCCAGATTTTTTTTCTCACATATAATTAACATAATTTAAAATGGGTTGGGGGCTGGGAAATCAACAGCTTTTGTACTGCTTTTCACTTTCACAGTGTAAGGAAACGCACATATAATCACTATGAGAAGCTTCGTCTCCCTGTTCTGGAGGGTAAAAACTGAGAGAGAGAAAGTAACATGTTCCTGACATAGGAAAGAGGAGACAAAAAGCAGCAACTAATCCCAGGGACCTCCACACCCACACTCTCTCTCCCTCCCGCCCCCCTCGGCTTTAAGAACTCCACAGTGCCACTCAGTAAGACTAGCTGAGTTTTTGTCAGGGGCTGTTCACATCCATGCTTTGCATCTTCCCTTCTAGAGCACAGTCTCCACCAGCTGATTTCTTTTTGCCTCCTTCGTGCTGTTTCTTTTGCTTCTTAGAAAGTTCTTGATCTATAGGTGCAGGTTTCACAAATTTTATCATTTCCTTTAGACCTAGAGAGAACAAAGAGTACATTAAATACAGATGGATGCCAGAATGGGCATCACCACGCATCACTTTCTTTCAGATTAGTATCTTCCCTTTCGCACAACCCAAACCACTATATGTAAAAACTATTTCAAGTAGTTCTTCATTACATAACACTAGCTGCAGCATATTATAAAGGCAGGGGCAGCATTCAAGCTCACCCTTCTTTCTCCAAGCAAGTATCACAAGTAGCTGAAAGGGAGAAAACCCTTAAGTCAGGGGTGTCAAACTCGCGTCATCACAGCATTGTCACATGACGTATCGGGACTTCCCCCCCCCTTCGCTAAACTGGGCGGGTGCAGAGCCAGCACATGACGCATCTGGCCCACGAGTTTGACACCCCTGGCTTAAGTGAAGGCTTCCTTCTCAGGCTTCCTTGGGCACCTTTTATTTTGTCAATGATTTCCTTGACTGCAAAATTAATACTAACAACTACAGCACAACTTCTGAAATATTCTGGTTCAGGATGGATGGATCTTCTTAGTCTAATGTAGGAAAGAAACACAGTTCAAGTCAGCCTCCCATAACTTACCAACGGCAGACGTGTTGGGATTATTACTCTCAAGGATCACTCTTAAAACAGGTAGTTCTCGACTTACGACCACAATTGAGCCCAAAATTTATGTTGCTAAGTGAGACATTTATTAAGTGAGTTTTGCCCCATTTCACGACCTTTCTTGCCACAGTTGCTAAATGAATCGCTGCAGTTGATAAGTTAGTAACCTAGTTGTTAAGCGAATCTGGCTCCCCCATTGATTTTTGCTTGTCAGAAAAATCACAAAAGGTGATCACATGACCCTGGGATACTGCAACCCTCATACATTTGAGTCAGTTACCAACCCTCTGGATTTTGGTCACATGATTATGGGGATGTCGCCACAGTCATAAATGTGGAAAATAGTCACAAACCTCTTTTTTGAGTACCGTTGTAACTTTGAACAGTCATTAAACAAACTGTTGTAAGTCGAGGACTACATATAATACCAATTTAGCAGAAGATCAGCACACAGGTTTCATGGAATATAATTCCATGCTTTAAGGTAGGTTAGAATTATGAATTTTCAAAGGGGGCCTCTAATCTTCAAGGACATTCGGCTTTCAGATAACAAAAGCAAAATTACAGAGGCTGAAGGAGATAGGGAGGAGAAATGAGAATTATTACCTGGTGGCATGAAATCCTTTAATTTATCTGGTATGAGGATTCCTTCCTCTGTCTGGTAATTCTCCAGAATAGCACATATAGTCCGTGTTGTAGCACACATGGTGGCATTAAGCATATGTACAAATTCCACCTATGAAAATAAAACATGCTATGTTTCATACCTTTCCCAAAAAGCAAACATATTTTTCCAGAGGATTTAGCTTAAAAGTAGTTGCTGTGATTTATATAACTGCCCACTATTTTTAAAATAAAATTTAACATATATTTTTACACATTAAATCCAAATTTGAAAGATAAAAGATAACAGTATTTTAAAATACAAAATTATTATAGTAATAGAGAGAAAACATTGCCACTAAGAATATCTGGCTAGCAGACCATTCTTCAAATAATTTTATTTACAAATGCCAAAGCTCTGTGTACACATTTGTGCTTATTCATTCATTCTAAACTTTATAAAAATCAATGACAATTCAAAGTTTTTTTAATTTACAAATCTCAGTTTCTATAATCTTTAGAATTGAATATTTTTTATTTTTCCAAGTTACTAATTCTATGGTTTGTATATAGCTTACCATTATTTTAGTAAACTAGATGACATAACTGGCAAGTAGCCAATATTCAAATTGGACATGCATCTATACATTTATTTCAGCCTTTCTAGATCATTTCTACAACAATTTCAAATTATTATATTTGGAGCAGCTGCCCTCAAATGCTGAATGAGAAAACATCATGCTATGACAAAAATGCAGATTTTCTATAAAGAATAAAATATGTAGGCTGCTCCAAGAGAACCTTATTGACTACAATACTAAAAAGTTACTGACAACTGTATAATGCTTCCAGAGTACTTGAATGATAGATAACATAACATACTTTATCCATCATCTTTTTGGTTTGGCCATAGCGTATCCGTAACCGACGTGCTTGGTAATCAGTACAGTTTGAACAAGAAACAAGCTCACGAAAAGCACCAGAACCTGGGAACCATGCTTCCAGATCCAGTTTCTTACTGGCAGCATGATTTAAGGAACCTGTAATAGCAAGAGGCAGCAGTATTAGAAGTAGTAGTATTAGAAGTAACATTAGGAAAGAATCTCCCAACCCTCTAAAAACGAAAATGCTACGGTGGCCTAGGATTTTCTTAACCACTTTGAGAAAATAATACTGGTGCACAACTACGTATTTGATAAGTCATAAAGCTTCTACTTTTATTAGAAGTTAATGTGAAATGCTGTGCATGTATACTAGAGAATCACCCCACACAGCCAGAAATTATTCTGAGAGAGAAGTACCTGAGACTATATTCACAATGTGATAAGGGATGCCCAGTGACTGGTAGAACTCTTCAGCAATGGCAATCATCTCATCAAACATTTCCCAAGATTTATTATCATGCGGTGATGCATAGACAAACTGTTCAATCTAAAAAAAGGGGAGAATTAGAAATTAAACTATAAAATATAAAGACGCAATTTTGATCTGAAAGAACAGCTGTGAAACTAGTATCATATTAGGAATATGAGAACTTAAAGCTAACTCATTTCAATGTTATGGAATCTGAAACTGCTCTTAGTGTTAATGAACTGAGATTTAATGACATTATATATAAGCAAATATAAACCAGCAATTTCCGTAACAAGAAATATGCTGCCCAATATTGAAAATATATCTTAATAAGCCACTCTAAATTTGTTACCATTAAGCACACTATTTAACTGAAATAAACTACCTTGCAAATTATTATGTTTAACAAACTCATACTCACAATCTGAGACACGAAATACATTGTTTCATTCTTTTAAAAATTGTTTTATTCTATTAAAAAGCTTTGAGTTACATTTTCATCCCTCATACAGTTTCCAAAGACAGGCCACTGATTTAAGGAAACATTTTCATTTCTTATTAAGACATTGAATCCTGTGCAGACTGAATAAGAAAGTTGTACAAAGACAGAAATCTCCGAGCATAGCTACAATTAAGAGGAACTGATGGAATTTTTAAATTATACTTCTGCTCTACTCTGTAAGTATAGGTCTCTAGGCAAGTTTGTCAAATTAACTGTGAAATGTTTTAAAAATATGGAAAACAAAATCCAAAAAGTGCCATAAAAACAGAATGCAATCAATCAATCTGGATTAAAGTGGTAGCTATTGTCCTGGGGAATTAGCAGCCAGTGCAACTTGTGAAGCAGAGGTGTTACATGGGTATACTGAGGCACACCCATTACTGCCCACTCCACTGCATTCTGGACCATTTGAAAATTCTGACTGGTCTTTAAGGGTAGCTCTATGTAGATCATATTGTAGTAGTCAAACTGTGAGGTAACCAGAGCATGATTGACACTCCGAAGGCATCCCAATCTAGGAAAGAGTGCAACTGGAGCACCAGATTAAGTTGGCCAAAAGCCTTTGTGGCCACAGTTGCCGCCTGCCAATTGAGTAACTGTGAATCCAGGAAGACTCCTAAATTGTACACCATACTTGAATGGGGAAGAGCAACCCCACTGAAGGTCAAATCCCCATATCTGGGTGGTCCAAACAACCACATGAACACATAGAAAATAATTTGCACGCAAATAGATTAAAAAACATAACTGAGCTAAGATCATTACTGTAAGCACATTGATATATTTGGACAACAGGATGGCATAATAGGAAATTAAGTATTCTGAGCTGAGGAAATAGGACGTCTTGTTAAGTAAACATATCGAAGTCAAAGGAAATATGCAAGGCTATACTTGTTAAGTGGTCCCTCAGAACTTAACATGCGATCATTTTCCAATATTAGTCTTAAATAAAGGAGAACAGAAACAAATTTCTGGTCTGTTCCAAAATAATCCAAATATGCTCTGATGATAATGAGCAGAGCTTAGAAAGGCACAGAATTGGGGTGGTTAAGGTTGGTGTTTTTAGGTTGATTGAAGATCAACAACATAATCCACCTTGGCATTTAAGGCTGACTGAATTCTATATGTACAGAAATATTCAGCTGTGTTACTTATATCCAATGATTAGGAATGACTCTTTAACCAAACCTTTCTTTTCAAAATAAATTCTTAAAACACAATTTTAATTTTGCCTTGTTGGACTTGGAAGTAGTACTGAATGAATAAAGAGCAATCTGTGCATTTTGTGCTTTCAAATTTTACTATCTTTTATATAGTGAAGGTAGCTGCAAGGAAAAAGTGCATGATTTTTTTCCATAGGCTTTCCCAAAAAACTAGATAGCATTACCTTTTCAAACTGATGTACTCGGAAAATGCCTCTGGTATCACGACCATGAGAGCCTACTTCCTGGCGGAAGCAAGTAGACAGCCCAGCATATTTGATGGGTAAATCTTCCGGTTTTAGCCATTCATCCCTGTGCAATGCTGCAATTGGCTGCTCAGATGTAGCAATTAGATATTTTTCATCAATGGTATTATCATCACTCTTCTCACTGCCTTTCCCCAGGACCTGGGAAGAAGCTTGGAAATCAGACAATTGCAATAGCACACTATTTTATATCCACAAACTTTCTACTTCAGATGAATGCAAGTTTAAATTAACTCAAGTATAAGCATTACAAATATATGCACACATTTAAAATATTATTATAAGACTACTAATATCTAGACATGGGCCATCTCTTTTTGGTTAAACATACTTCTATTTATGGTAGGAATATTTCCTTTCCAACATTTTAAATAAAATGTACAGGTAATTACCAGTTTTACCAGAAATTCCCATGATTCCATGAATAGTCTAATTACCCATTTACATAGCAACAAAAACAGTCTAGAAGCTCACAGCCAGTGCTATGGAAATAGGACCATTCTTCTCACATCTTACCTTGTACAGCTCTTCATCAAACTGACTTAGCTGGGCCACTTCCTGCATCACTTCTTTTCTCATGAAGAAGGGTGTATAAACTGGGGTGTATCCCTGGCTAAACAGTGTCTGCAGGGCATATTGAATGAGGGCTTGCTCTAGAAAAACCAAAGGTCCCTATAACAAAATAGAAACAGATTAAAACCATGCTTTAAAAAGGCCTCGGGACCCTATACTCGGATTGTCTTCTACAATTAAGTAGAAAACCTATTTACAGGACAGGAGCTTCATTCATCCAAGTTTACTTTAAATGCATGTGGGGATCATATTCACTCCCCCCACCAGATACTGTAGCTGAAGTACAACTCCTCAAAGTCACAGCCAGGTGAGAGCTTCTACAAGTTATATCTAGCAAAAGCTGGACAAAATTAGGTCTCCCACCTTTTCATGAAGTTGATAATCATTACCTTAAGAAAGTATCCTCTGCTTCCAGCTACAACAGCTCCTTTTTCTCCCTCATAGCCATCCACCATGACAACCAGATCCACGTGAGAATACTTCTTCCTCTCAGTGCAGTCTCCCCATACTCTCTCTTCTTTATTATCTACATCCTACCAATTTCAAAAAAAAAATTGATACTTTGTGTTTTCGAACTAACCAAGAAAAGAGTATCTTTCCAAACAAGTATCTATTGGACATTTTGTTTAGTCACAACACAACTTTGACTTCCATTTAATTACACATTTAATAAACCAGAACAGTGTATCACAGAAGCCTTTCTGCATGACACTGTCCTCTGCTGATGTGTATTATGATAGTCCTTGACAGCTTCAAGGACTATCAAGAGATGAGAGATATCAGAATTTGGTCTAATATGAAAAGATGACGAGTGCTCTGGGAAGTAAAGATTACATTCAGCGATTTCCCTGCACTGGAGAATTCCTTATAAATTCCTTATAAAGGAATTATTGCAAATATTGCCTCGTAAAAAGTACTATTTTGCAATCCAAGTGATTACTTACAATCTGACAATTACTACTAAAAATTCTAACGATGACTGATCCAACTGTGTTATTATATTAAAACTGGTCTTGCTCTAGATATTGGTTCTACCTTCTCCTCACCCTTAAATTTACTGATCAGCTGCTATTGGGCTGCACAGCACAGGAAGAGAAAGAGGGACCAGTCTATCAGCTCTTTTGGCTGTTAATAAGAATTCTATCACTTTCAGCAACAGATGCTAGTGTGAACTTCATTCCATCTTTCTTATTCTTTCTGGATCACATGTTTTAGATTGTGAGGTCAATGGACAGCACTAACTTACATTTACTTTATTTGTGAGCTACCCTAGGTGCTTGTTTTTGCCCGAAGAGCAGAGTAAACTGCTCTAAATAAACAAAATTGAGTTTGTTTCCCATTTATATTCCAAACAAGAATATGATTTAGCACATAGTTGGTTATTTTATATTTGTGGCTTCTTTCTTTGAAGGATAATTGCATTATAATGCAAACCATATTAAATTATCATTCTCCTCATCAGGGATTCATCATGCCCATTCTACAGCTGTGCAAAAGAACACCTCAAATTAGATTCTCAAGATTGTTTCAAACTGACCATAACCAAAAACAATGTACATTTACATGCAGGGCATGAAAATTGCTCCTACCTCATCATTGCTGATTGGCACAGAGGGATGAAGAAGATTTCCAATTTCTCGGAGGTTTTCAAAGCGCTCTGCTTCCAGTTTCAAACGTTCTTCATCACATTTCAGGATTGCTTCATCAATCAGAATACGGATTTTCTTGATTTGGCTAACCTGAAGACTCTGAAGCACAAGAGAATAGCTGGGTGTGTCAGCACGTCATAATGAGAGATTTAAAAAGACTTGTAAAAAGAGGATTTTAAGGGGCAGGACTGTAACTGTTATGCTCATTGTATTTTAGCTGAAAGTTTATCATACCAAACACGAGGTCAAGAACGGTGTTTGACTTACATGAACATGTCACTTAATGCTAATTTTGACATACTTTGACTGAATAGTAATAATAACATGATCATACAAGGGCTAACTGGTAAATTTTCCAATCCAAGAATGAAAAAGATCAGTAGTAAGATGCAGTAGCATGCATGTGTTCAGGATTATAGGCTTCGTCCAAAAGTTCCTCATTTTACTTTCCACCTTCCCTGACTTAGTATGTCTTATGAACAGAACCATTTTGGTGTATAAGCCATTCATACATGGCTTAGTATATCATTCAAACACAGTAAATTATTTATTTATTATCAAAAGTAAGCCAAAGTATACTATGTGAACTAAAATAATAGTTCAGCTCACAGTGCAAGAGAGTTGGAAGAATGCACCAAAAAAACCCACTGAACTGTACCTTAAAGCCAAGCAAGTAGCACAATAATGGAAATAAATTCAAGGACACATGAATAGAAATCCATCAAGTTGCACAAACATCCTTCTCCCAAATCTAAATCATATAATGTATCACTTACTCAAATACAACACATGCATTGAAAGTCAGTGAATAACAAAGAAAGAAATGAACTTACTGTTAAGATGTCTACTGTGAGTTCGTCAAGATTTTGTGCATGATCTGGTATATCGTCACTGTTACCCACAGGTTCTTTCTTCTGTAAATAGAAATGTTAATAAAAAGGAAAACAGGTCAGCAAAGAAAAAAATAATAGAAAAAATTAAATAGCTTTCAGGACACTCTGAATTCCGTTTCTAGACTTCCAGAAAAAAATAGTTACCAATACAAAGTATTAGTGAGCTGAACAAATTATAAACTAGGCATATTTGATGAGGAAAAAGCAGTATGTCTTTTGTCTAAATACCATATATAAAACCTCAAGGGGAGAAAAATCCAGAGACTTTAAAATAAAGTCTACCCCTTCTCCCATTTTTCCACACTGTTTTCATATGTCTCAGGAAAGAATAGATGGGTTTATTTCAAATTGTTCAGACCATTGTTATCTCCATTCTTACTTAATTATTTTACTTTTGCAAATTCAGCAGATGTGACAACTTTAAAGCCTTTTAATTTTAAAAAAAAAATTTAATTTTTTTTTTAATTTAAAGCCTTTAAATACTGTAATGAAAGCATATCATCTAGCATCATTTTCCAGGGTGATGACATTGTTGTAAACACAATGGCTCTCATCTCTGTATTTATCAATAAAGGAAGAAGGGAAGATGACAATTTTTTAAAAAAAGGCATTTCCAAGAATTTAATTAAGAATTTGTTCAGTGCTAAGCATTGTTCCCACTCATCTTTCTTTGTAAAACTGGCTTCAAATGGTACTAAATCATTTATACAAGACAAAATGAAGCAACTCATCAGGGGGGATCACTGTCTTTACTATTCCGAAAATCACACTGAATTCCGCTCAGCTGCTTTGGGATGTTCATGTTCAAATCTTTAGTGTATGTCATGATCACAATTCAAGCCTGCCACCTTTCTCCACTGTTAGTTCATATACCACCTGCTAAGCTTAAGTGTCTCTGATGTTGTTTTTAATACTGCTAATCGAATAGTAGGGAACCCTTTATTGGATTACCCAAGGTTCTACCCTGAGGGCATATTATATCCCTGCTAAGAGTCAGAGTCTTCTCACCACACAAACACTGTTTTTTTCAGGGCCCTATCCCTATGCATCAACTGTTCCAGATCACTCTTGGGACATGGAGAAAGGGATCCATTCAGGAGAAGACCTCTAGTCACCAGCAGGTAAAATGGAAAGCTTCACAGACTGCATTCATCTGATGGGGGTTTCCAATCCATCTTTTACAACTGCTTAGCAACTTTAATCACATAATAAATAATGTATAAAAAGGTTGGATAAAGTAAACAAAACCAGAGCATGTAACTTCCATTCTGTTCAATGAAGTAATAAAATTTTTGTTTTGAATAGAATGTACTGCACCTTCATTTTTTCTCCTATGGTTTTGCTGCACAAGTTCTTCAGTTTATTCAGGTTGTCTGCCCGGAATCTGCCTAGAAGAAATGCACCAAACATTTTTACAAAACCTGATGTTTAAAGGACAAACTTTCCAATACAATGTTAAGTCTATCTTTTGTATTATTATTCCTGGCAATTAAGTATGTTCATCAAACAGATGGACAAAAGTACTGCAGAAATATTAGCAAAATTGTATTTTTTGATAGAAGTGAAAAACTCCTTCTGCACATAGTAAACAATACAGATAGTCTTTGACTTACAACAGTTCATTTAACATTTGGATATTTGACAACTGTTTCATATTTATGATGGTTGCAGTGTCCCAGGGTCATGTGGATCATCTTTTGCAACCTTCTGACAAGCGAAGTCAGTGGAGAAGCCAGATTCATTTAACAACCATGTTACTAATTTAACAACTGCAATGATTCACTTAACAAACATGGCAAGAAAAATTGTACTAATAACCGAAAAAACCCTATTGGGCTTTTGCCTCACTTTCATCTCTTTTGCACGTTCTTAGATATAAGATTTACAAAAGCCACTAAAAGCTGGTAGCTAAAACATATTTTGATAAAGCAAATGCACGACAATCTTTCATTATATGAGGGTAGTATGTAGATTGAAGGATCCAAGATGTGCTATGTGGCACATATAACTCTCCCCTCCAACATCTCCAAGGAATCTGTTTCACACTCCTGCACTTTCCTGATATTTCTACTGGCCAGTTGGCCAATTGCCTTGCCGGCTTCAATCAATCTGAAATGGCTAAAGGATACACTGCAAGATGGCCGTGGCATTGGCTTTGCAGGAAGATACTAGAAGCACTGCACATTGTGTTGTAAGAATCAGGCAGCATATAAATCTATTGTTTGGCTGCCTAACCAAGTCTACCTGCCACCAAAAGCAACTGTTTCCTTATGCCAAAAAGAAAGACTAACCTACAAATACAGAGGACTACTCTTACTGAAAGAAGACTTCCATTTTTCAATGGAATTCATTTTCAATTGGATGGTATTTTGCCTGGCTTGGAAAAATGAACCATAAAAATAACCTGAAGATCTCATTCTGCATTACAATGGAATTTTAATTGATTTGAAGTGATAGGCCTTCTATCTCCTTCAAAGCCTATTGGCTCATGCTGCCAAGGGCAAGAAAAAAACAGAGTTGCTTTTCCAGGCTTCTCATCCTAAATCAATTCTAGGCTGATTCAATAGAGCCAAACCTAATTCTGTCCTACTCCTTAGAATATCTCACATTAGAACCTTTTACTTGTCTTTAAAAATATTTATCAAAATGTTTCTACATTATTCATTCATAGAATCCTAAGAAACCTTAAATGATGAATTTTCAAAGGGCATCACACCCCCAAATATGGTCTTTTCTTTCTCTCTAAAAAAAATAAAGCAGCACTGCCAAAAAGAAAATGAAACTGTAACATGTGCAGTTGCAGCATCCAGAAGTCATTTTCCAGGGTGATGACAAACACAGCAGGGATTGCATCAGATTCAGATGCACCAGTACTTGAACTGTGTACACTACTGACAAATAGGGTAAATTTGCCAATTTAAAGAGCACTGCAATGCTGGAAAAAAAAAAAAAAGGCCAAATCTACTCTGCAGGGAAGGGGGCTCACTGCACTATACATTTCTAATGATTAAAAAAAAGGGGGGGGGGAGTCCTCAGCTATATTTGTGGGATGCTTTTCCTTAGGATGGCACAGAAAACAGGGAATTCCAAGGAGAAACTGAACTCCCCTTTCCAAACTTTCTGGGTTACTGCACTCTTTTGCTCACAAAAGTTTCATTTTAAATCTGTTTTCCGATTAGACCTTTGACATTTACAACAATATGGGGGACACACTCTACGGCAGGATACCAGCTAAGGGATGCCTGTCCCAATAAGGCTACTCTCAAGGCGATCCTATCACTGTCATGACCATTAACAAATAACATGCGGGTCCTCGTCCTCCGGGAAGTTGGCGGCTCTGATTTTGCTAGCAGATTCCGCCTTTCCACGCCGGCACACGCCAGATGGGTGTCAAGACGCTAAAGGCGGAAGGGAGGAGCAGACACGCGTTTGAATGGGACGTTCAAGCAGACCGGCCAGCGCGCAGGAAGAAAACACGTGAGACCCCCCAAACAAAGCTGACGGCCCCGGGTCGGGCAGTGGCTCTTTTCCTCGCTTTCCCGCCGCAGAAATGGGTCTCGACTCCCCCCACACCCACACATCCGCAACTGCTCACTCACATCTCCTCCAGGCCCCGTCGGCGGCCACCAGCGCGTCCACGAGAGCCGGGTCCTTGAAGCGCTTCAGCTGCATCTCTCGCACGAGCTCCGGGTCGCCGCCTTTGTCAGCGCGGAAGAGGTCCAAGTCGAGCACCATGGCGGCGATGCAGAGCCGCCGAAGCGGAGAGGAACGAAAGCGGGAGACCGACGCGCGACTCGCCTCGGCAGCGAAAGGCGAGGAGGTCAGGACGGAGAGCCGAAGGGCGCCTGCGCAGTAGAGACGCAGAGGAAGGGAACTGCGCGCGCGCCTGATAGCATTTCCCTGCCTGGGCGTGGATGAGGGAGCTGCGCCGCTCCCTGCCGCTTTCCCGAGTACAAGGAGCTCCTTGCCGAGGGAGCATCTGCTTGCATAAATGCAACGGGGAGCCGCTTTTACACAAGGCGGCTTCACACCTTCTGTAGCAAAGGTTTGGAGGGTAAAGCATGGGAATGGACAAACATAGGGGCGGTTTCATGACAGCTTATGAATTCTCCCCGACTTCAAACACTTCGAGCTCACACCATCTGCGTAAATTGCCTCTGGCGGCGATTATGGCTGGGCAAGCTGAGTGGGGATGGCGCGCTGGTAAAAACCCTTCGCATGTTAAAGCACTTCTTTTTCCTTTTTCTTGGGGGATGTTTTATTGACTGTAAAAGAACGTAATTGAGAAACCTTGGATTTTGATACTTTTAAGACTGTAACTGCAAGCATCTTATAAAGCCTCTGTCACTATACCAAAAATGTATAATATTATACATTGTACATATAAAATAGTACAATATTATACTAGTACTATTATACTATGCAATAAATGTGTAAACTGAATCTGGGTTACCAAACTTTTTAATTGCGCATCATCTTCTGAAATCCACAGAAAAGACTAGGAAGGGCAATCTGCAGCCCTTAGGTCCGAGGTTGCTGAGCTGTAAATCCTAGCTCTGTATGCTGGCCAGGACTGCTACAAGTAGTTATGCGGTTGAGCAGCTGCAGGATGATGACCCGTGCCAGCCACCTGTTTGATCTAACCTGCCTTTGGTTGGTTTCATTGTACTTGAAAACCAAATACAGCATCTTTGTAGGTTTGGATGGGAACTGGGAACTGTTGTGAAGGTGATTTATCAATGTTTCATCCCAGATACTGCCACCATGAAAATTAATAATGGTATACCCATTCCAGTATCATTTATCATGCAATTAATCCAAAAATGTATTAGAAAATAGGTTTCTAGCATATGTTATCATGTTAAATGTTTTACAGAGAGGATTATTTCTGATGTTCTCATTTCTCAGCCTTTTTTTGATTCTCAGCTATTTCTCAGCTTTCTACAGGCTAGCATTCTTGCTGCCAGATAGAGATGACAGTGCAACACATCATTGGAAAAATGTGTATGGAGATTCTCAATCATCGTGGTCATGTTTCTTTCTATCTAAGACAGTCCAGTTGGTTTTTTTTTTTTTTTCAAAAGTCACCTCTGGGCCAACAAATTGGAGAATGGTGGAGTCAAAATATATCTTCTATGTTTTGGTTTTATCTTTTTGCTCCTAGTTGTTCTCAAGTTATCTTCACATTAGGTTGATCAGAACTGGGTAATAACAGATGCACTTTGCAAATAAAAGGCCCCAGCCATGGCATCTTCATTACATAGGCCACAGAAACCCGAGATCTTACAGACCCATTGTTAGGTAAAATAATAGGACAGCTCCTGTTTTATTTCCTATAGCTTGAATAATAAACAAATTATAAAAGTTGATTAAATAGAGATCAGAAGCTTTTCTTGGTCTCTCTTTTTTTTTCAGCTTATCTAAAATGAACCAAAAAAAGGTGACAGCTCACATCAAATGTCATAACAGTTACATTAATCCTTAATCAAAAATCCACATGCCATGTTGTTTCCATTAATTATAAAATTGTATAAATAGAACCCAGCTCATTATGGACATAGAACAAAATAAACTGCAGTTTACCATCACAAGGCGGAAAAGCTTCCCCACAGATTTATAAGTATAATTAAATCAATTTTATACAGCATTGCAAAAATTCATTGTCATATTTTTAAGAAATGTATCATATTGTAGTCCCTGAATAGCATTTTTATGATTCATCCATGCTCTGAAAAGTCCTTAAAGATTACTACTGGAATAATAAAATATTTGACATATTATTAATCATATATTAAAAAGATTACACTTTCTTTCAAAACCCCAAAACATGTACAAAAATGTTGTGGAAGCAAAAATCCTCAGCATAATAAATTACAACAATACAAAACAGTAATGCTGTTATGCTATTAAATAGACAAAAGTATTTTTCCTGTCTTACATAAATGAAATTTACAAACGTGAATTACAGTTGGGCCACATTCTCATAGATGACATATCAGAAAATCTAGATGCTATACAGTAGTGTGTTCCCCAGCCTCTACAGTAGGTAACATTAAGTAATAATAAATATACTTAACGACTGGACAACACTCTAGCATTAATATCTTTTGAGAAAATATTAGAAAAATATAAGGAAAGGGCATTTCTGAATCTTAAAAAGTATGGCTGCTGTTCAAGGTCCATTTCCATACTTCTGAAAAAGAATATTCCTATTGCTCACTGCTCTACTATGGAATAATTAAATGGCTTGTTTTACACATAGTAGAAAAGCCATAATGTGATTTATTTATTTATTTTGCTTATGCGATGTGTGGTTGCATCCAGTATGGCTTAGCATTTAATATAATCAGGCAATTATGGCTTGTTCAACAAACCACAATTAATGTTTACAAATTCTGATTTAGTATTATATTTATTATATATGAGCCATTCATATATTTAATGACTACTGATACCATTAAATGGACCAAGTCTTTTTTCCCTCCTTGTGTTAAAACACATATTCAGCAACATACTGTCACTGAATGTGATTGATTATGTTAAATTGCATACACAAAGGAAAGCTTCAAGTATGCTATTTTGTTTGGACTGCTGCTATCACTAAGATTCCCACAAGATTAGTATTTGGCTTCTTTTTTTAAAAAGATTACTTTCACAACACATCTAATTTTCCAAACTGAGAAGAAAATGACACATCATTTAGAAATGTAATAAATACATAATTTTTAAGAATAGCTTTGTAGCCATGTCCCCATTATTGCAGCCTCTTTCCTTTCTTGATCCTCTTAAATTAAGTTACTGAAGCATCATGTTTTGATGATGCTGATAATATGAACGTTAAATTTAAGATTCTGAAACTAGAAGTGATGCTCTGAAATGTGCAGGTATGCATATCCACCATCTCTTTATGATCCTTTAAAGCAGGGCTGTCCAACCTTGGCCCCTTGAAGCCTGGCGGACTTCAACTCCCAGAATTCCCCAGCCAGCTTTGCTTTAAGCAAAAGCTTTAAGCAAAAGTTACCCAAAAGCTTCTCCTGCAGCCACACAACGTAAGAAATCCTGCTTTAAGGAGTCCTACACTAGTACTGTGTCTACGTTCCCTTATGCTCTAGAGCCTCTCTTTTGAATTGATTAGGAACACTGCACAATTCTGATAATGTATGGTTTAACACAAGGGATGGTTTTGTTGTTTTGAAATATGGTTTGAATTTAAGTGATCTCCTTTTTTTAAAAAAAGAAACATTGGTTGAAACTAGACCTTTTCAAGATGGATAGCAAAAGCTTCATTGGGGCATATAGGCCCACTTAAATATTTTTTTTATTACAAACTATACTGTATTCTATCTAGCCTAATACCAGTCCTGCCTTTCTTTATTCCTGTGAGCTTTATTTGAAACTAAAAAAAAAAAATCTTCCTGTCCTGAGCAATAAGAAACTCTCCTAAGCTACTCTCATAACCACTGATAAATTTGTCCCCAAACATCTTACTATATTACATGAGCGTAATCTTCCTATCCTCAGGCAAGCACTTTTATATGGAAAAGATCAGAGATTTTCAAAAGAAAAGACTGCTGCTTTTGTCAGCACTAGTTTGATCAAACTATGTGTATGTGTGTATGTATGTATATATTATGTATACATACTTGTCAGTTCCAGAATACTTTGATGTTATACAGTGCTAGAATAGTTCAATTTGTGCAAATGGCAATACCAAAGGGTAATTTTTCCTTAGTGTCCCTTAAAGTCCCAATTTCTTATCCTTCCAATATTAGGTTACCTCTGGCTTCCTTCCTGTGTACATTTTTCATCAAAATAAATAAGTCAGAACATCCTCTGATAGGCAGCTAGAAAAGAACCATGAATTTGATGCCAAATTGATTTGGTAATCCTAGAGAAGACTTGCCTTTATCTATTGTTTAAATAACTAAAGTCCAGGTGGGGAAAACCAGTCCAGGTACAATGGTAGCCTTTTACAAGATATGTTCTAGTTAATGTTATTATGCCAACAATCACTCTAGCTTGCAGGTTTGTAACTACCCCATCAAATGAATTTGTCCTACCATATGTGTCCCTTGGGTGTTCCAAAATATGGCTTTTATTATAGACATTATCAAACAACTGGCAAGCCATAATAAAAGCTACATTTAACTTTACATATTGTGAATTGTATAGAATGTCTCAAATTATTGCAACTAGCAACAACTGGTTAATTTACATCTAGTACAGTTTCCTACTGGGTAAGAAAGCACAACTGATAACTATACTCTCAGAGCAATTTCTGCCTTCTCATCTCTATATCATTTTTAAGAGGCTGTCACAGTCTCAATTTTTTTCAATTACTATCACAGCAACAGCTATTAGGCCTTTCAACTGCAAAGTATACTGATCTTTAGGATTATAATATTTTTCAATTTTATCATGCATTAGTACCTAAGAACTATTTATAGAGTAAAAGCATTTAGCTTGTCTCATTTTAAAGCAATATTGGTTATCTCTCTTGAACTAGTATAGCTGCATCCCAATAAATGTAATCCATTTCAAACAATATAATAGTCCTGCTAACTGCTTTGGCAAAAATGGCTTAAACCAAGTTTACCCTAAATTGTGTCCTTCAAATGTGGTGGAATGCAACTCCCATTGCTGTCAGCGGCAGCATCCTGGTATACAGTCTGGGAGTGATAGTGGCTGTGGTTCCAATACTTCAAAAAAAATTTGATTGAGAAGGCTTGGTTAAA